CACAGAAGGGAAAAAAATATATTGACCTAATGGAAATTTCATAGCATTTTAGTGCATTATTTGATACAGCCTTTGAAATCTAAGCTCAATGAAAAGTAAATAAATAAACTATAAGTTCAATGATGCTATTTTTCTGTCTTGTTCTATAGATTTTTATTTGATTGAGAACTTTGCTCCCCATAGTTAATAGTATCGACGAATACTTTTTGTCTTCATTCTTTTGCCTGGTTCGGGTGTAGCTGTGTTTTGCCCTGTTGAGACACTGTTTCTCTGAGGCAGTAGTAATGTATCTATCACCTTTAAAATTAAGAAAATAATTCTGGATATAAACTTATCTCCACTTGTTTTTAGTCAGTATATCTGAAAATCTAACATATGTTTTATCACAAAAGAAACACAGTTATCTGTCTAAATGTGGGAAAAAATCATTTCAACAAGGCTTCAGTTATGGGCCTGATCGGAAATAGAAATTTAGTACAAGTGCATCGCTCCTATTTAAAGTAGCACTGGGGCCTCAAACATCATGATTTAGACATCAAGCGATTTTTAAGAAATGAATATGCAATGCATATTTTAAGCCAAAAGCTTAGTATTTTTCTAGGAAAGTGGGTGGAGATGGGGGATGGGAAGAAAATGGGAACATTGCTGTGGTGCATATAAGTGCATCCATGATTTTTAAAGAATAGAGACCCCACTTTCCCAGACACACAGGCACAATCTTAGGTAACTAAGATTTCACGTGCAGAAGCTCAACACTAATAGCGCCATATCCTACTATTTATTTATATTCTCTATACCAAGGGAAAATTTGAAATCTTGGTGTACTTAGTATTCCCCTGTGCGCTATCTAGAAGCATCAGAAATTACCAAGCTTCTTGAAATAGAAAGTACTTTGACGAAATTGCTTGAATTCAGAAGAAAATAACCATCAAAAGACCTAGTGACAATCAGTGTATGTAGGAGGGCCGCTAATGGGAAGAGAATTCTAAGAACAAAGGGAAACATGATGAGAGCATTAATGTTGGGCCCCCTCGGAAGCTGTGCTGCCGTCGTCCAGGTGACCACAGCCGAGTGTCTTACGCTCAGGCTTTCAGCTGGATAAGAAGATTGATGTCTCTGGCCCTCAGTTTTTCTGATATGGGTAAACCACTGGCATTCTGTCTACTCCCAACACATTCAACCTCCTCCACTCCACACTCCCAATGCCATTATTTTAACTTTTTAAACCTACACTGAAAAGTCCAGTGCAAAATCACATGCAGATTTTCATGGTTTATCTAGCTATCAGACTACCTTATTTGAAAAGCAAAGCAAATTTAGACAAACATTGCACGGAAGGGGAAAAGTTATTTTTTGGAAAGATATAAACCAGGTGTCAGTTTGTATAGCACGTGGAATTTGGATGTTAGGGCATAAGGAAGGGCGGTGGGAGGCTAAAGGGTTAATCGGGATGAGGTAGAGTTTCTATTGATGAATAGGAAAATCTTTTGACAATGCATAAGTGATTTCTCAGTAATGGGGTTGGTGTTCTCAGAGTCAATAATTTCCACCAGTGGCCGATAATGATCATTTAAAAGCATTAGCTCACATGACCAGTGCGCCTTGACAGGCAACTGAAGCTCTCCGTTCTAGTCCTTGAATTTCAGGGCAGGGGGGCGAGAAGAGGCCCTTTCAACCTCTGAGATTGTAAGTGGCTATGTGTACATTTTCTAAGGGGAATCATTAGTATCTGGGTCCATGTTTTGCCAGCACAGTTCGTTTTAGAGAGGGCAGCAGGAGAGGAAGGAACCAGAGGAAATTCTCTGTAGGGAGAAAGAGTGGCTGTTATCCTCGTTTGCATAGCTACTGCAAAACCGCCAAACACTGTCAGCTCAAGCCTTCCAAGGTGGTGTTTTGTTTTGTTTTTTTCCATTCCTGCGTTCATTTGGCCCTCATGGAAGTGAAATTGATTAGTGTTGATCCCAAGCACCTAAAGCCAGGATCTTGCCATCATGCCTAGAAATATGATCTAAAATAGAAGGATAATGACTTATAATGAATTTTTTTCAAGGTCTAGAGCTGTGCTCCTAAAATTTTAAGTGCACTCAAAAATCTTAGAGTTCTTTTCGAAGTGCATTTTCTGATTCAGCCGGTCTGGGGTGGGACCTGAGAGTTTGCATTTCCAGTAAGCTCCCGGGTGATGTGGATACTCTGGTCGGAGGACACACTTTGAGAGGGAAAGCTCTAGAAGACATCAAAGGTCAGTCCACGTGTTAGGAAAATATCAGACATTTTAAGCCAGAACAAACCATCCAGACAGCAGTGGTACAGCGCCTTCTGGATAGGGTCTGTGCTATGAGCCTGTATGCCAAGCACTTCTTTAGGGAGGGTGCAAAGTGAATCCACCACCACTGGGGTCCAAGGTTCAGGAGATGTTCTACTGCTTGCCTCTGTATAGTACTTATTAGGGAATCACTTATGCCAAGAAAAGCTGTAGAAGGTAGAGGGGGGAGTGGTCTTTATTTCTTTCTTAGTGCTACTCCTTGTTGCTATTGTATGGCTGAGAAATTTCCATCTCGGATTTTGAGATGCCCTTCTGCAAAGGGTACTAGCTTATTAATGTATGTGCTTATATGTATAGATGTATGTATGTGGTCAATATATTATTAGTGTATTTCAAGTAACTGGATTATGTGTATGCAGATGCATAATTAATAGTGAGAGTTCAGTAATTTTAACTGTCCATTTCAGACAACCCTGCTAAAGTCAAAAGATGTCAGCAATTAGGATTATAGTTTTACGTATTTTACTAGGTCTTATAAGATCTAAATTTGTATAATTGCATCCATGTTAGCTGTTGATTGTAGGTAGGATACTAACCCCGGTAAGAGGGTGAAATTCCTCAAATTCGTGGTAGGCCCCCTCCTTCAACGCAAGCAGACTCATTTTTACCTTTTGAATGTATGTGGTTTCCAGAGAAGATCTGGGTTGAAAAGCACTCTTATGAGCTATTCATGTTTCCTCTGGGGGCGGCACTCCGAGGAAAGACTGTAAGCAACACATACCTTTCTCCTCTGTTCACATATTTATTCAACAGCTCTTCATCGTCCACTTAACGTGTAGAAGGCATTGTCTAGACGCTGTAGAGAAAACGAGCTGAATAAACACAAATTTCTGCCCCCTTTGAGAAAGGCTAGCAACCCTAACGGTGTTGGAAGGAAACCATTGTGGCTCTGAAAACAACAAGGTAAACTCGAAAGGAGAATTCACTATGCAGTGTGCTAAGTCATGACCATCAGTGAAGGAGCTTTTGTTTCCTATCTTGAGATCTGACCATCAGGGGATAGCGGTGGTACACACTGCTGTTCCAGGTGTGTGATTTAGGAAGTCAAATCCATATGTGGTATTGCTGTGTGAGACCTGCCGGAATTCACTCTGTATTAAATCCTGATTTTTAAAAACTATGCTTGATGATTTAATTGGGTACAGTTGTTTCTTACTGGGACAGCCAGTGGGAGGCGGTCTAGCACGCCTGTTGAGAACGTGGCCACAGACACAGAGGGCCCAGGGTCAAATTCGGGCCTGGCCATCAGCAAGAGACTGCGCCAGTGGCGAGTAGTTATCCTCACTGGGTTCTCACTCCACTATAAAATAAAACTGATAATAATATCTACCTCAGAGCGGTTCTGTGAGGGGCAAAGGCATATGTAAGAGGCATGTGTAAAGTGCCTTCAAAGCAGAGCATCCTTTATTTTAACCACAAAACCTTAGCTTTGGAGAATTCTTCGGTGTAGGGAACACCCACCCTGGGGGAGCACTTGGTGGCCAGCATGGCCTTACAGGCCACGGTGTACTGGGCTTCTCACGTGCAGATGGTGGGACCCTCGTCCAGAGTGAGGGTCCTGGGGTCTGGCTGAGAGTAAGACAAGGGAGATCTCTGCTAGGGAGACGCTCTGCACGAAGGCAAGTGTGGCTCAGGAGATGCGACTTGTCATCATATTGTCTGACCGAGGTGCAAGTCATTCCCTCGGGGTGTCTGAGGCAGGGAGACGGCGGTGGGGTGAAGGGAGGCCTTGGATCTGGGTCAGGGGCTGCAGAAGAAGGCATTTGCTTTCATTGCCATGAATTACATTGAGACACAGTTAGCCACAAGTCTCCTACAAATTGATTTTTTTTTTAATTTGTGGAGAGAAGTAGTAGACAACTGAATGTGACCATGTCAGCAGTGGTTCAGATGCCAATTTATGATACATTAGGAGTTGAGGATTAACAGATACACATTACTATATATAATATAGACAAACAACAAGGACCTGCTGTACAGCACGGGGAACTACATTCAATTTCTTGTAATAATATGTAATGGAAAAGAATCTGAAAGGTTTATACATATCTATATGTACATGTATAACTGAATCGCTTTGCCGTACGCCTGAAACTAAGTGTAAATCAACTATACATCAATAAAAACAACTGAAAAGAAAAAAACTCTTAACAGTGTTGAGGTTGGTGAAGAAATCGCATTGGGAAGCCTGTCGACTGGTACATTCGCTGCTTTCTGCCTGAGCGTGTCAGAGCGTAAGATTGTGCTGCTAGACGGGGCCTTGGTCTCTCAGTTCTTCTTTGGCCCATTTCTCCCGCAAACAGTGACTTAAAAAAAAAAAATACTGGATATAGAGTTCACAGCCACAGTAGTTCCATAACGAGGAGTGTGCGTTTGCGTGTGGACTTCTGTTTGTCTGCTTCTTGCATCAAAACATCCTCCAGCTGTGGGCCTTTTCCTCCTCTGTATGTGAAGCCAGTAAACAAAACGCAAAGCCATGGGAAAAGGGTAGACAGAGCAGCAGAAAGGAATGTCCTCTTTTGTGAAAAACCCGCCACTGGCGGAATTTTAAAGAAAAGTTGATGGATCTTTTTCTCTCGCCTATATTAATAGAACAAAGCGCCGATCCTGGGGCAGTGGGTCCTTCTCTGTGTTGGAAGTAAATTTCATTCTTGTTCTAGGGTTTTTCCCTGAAGATGAGACTCTCACATCTGATTTTAAGAAACGATTGTTTATGGGAAAAGGCAGGCGGGTGGGGTGGGCAAAGCTAGCATCTGTCTTACAGGTTAGCTTTAAAATTATACTGTTTAGTTTTGTCATGGGATACACCCGGCTTTTAACTCACCAGTGAAGTCTGCGAGGCTGGGCTTTTGCATCTATTTTTATCCTGTACACTCTACCCTGGTTCAGAATAAGGTTGCTGGATTCCTCGCAGAACTCCTGTCCACACTCAGCCCTGGACGGGAAAGTTGGGGAGTTGAATCAGCTTTTTCTTGATTGGGGGTTGGAAAGGTACTGGGGAGAGGAATCTAGACGAGATCAAAGGTGGCAGCAGACGTGGGAAGGCTGTACTCTCCACCAGCCGTGTGTCAGAGCAGAGGGAGCCTCGGAGAACAGCAGCCGCCCCTGTGCCAGAGCACAGGACAGACGGGGAGGCCGGGCGGGGCGGTGTCTCTGGGACAGAGGGGGCCAAGGTCACCGCACGGCCAGACACAGACTCTTAGCTGGCTCTCCATGGCAGCATGAGCGGCCACCAGGGTTCTGGACAACTTCAGCCTATCAGGATTCATGGGAGGTTATTTCTTAAGTGAAATTCTAAAGAGTTAAAGGATGAATTTGGACAGTGATGGAATGGATGACATCATCAGTCAAGAATCCCCATTGGATATGGAGGGGAATTATAAAAAGGTAAGGGGAGAGAGCTCTTTTGTTTGTAAACAATCGGACCATTTTTCTAACGGGGAGAAAGATCACCCTTGAGGAGTGGCCAAATTCCACACTCAGTGGCCATTGCCGTAATATATTCAGGAAAGCTGAATGCACAGAATCAAATGCATTGAGCTGGGACAGTTCTTTCTACTTTCCCCAGCTTGTATTCATTAATATATTATAGCAGTAACTGGAAGACACATGTTGTTATTCTGAGGTTGGAAAAAAAAATCTGTGATGCAATAGTTTGTAAGCAGGCTTTTTATGTAAAGGAGTAGTTTTAAAATTATTGACATGTTGACAGCTTACCTGCAAGAAACAATTACTAGCATGTGTAATCTATCTAAGTTTGACCTTATGAAAAATATAAAGTTTTACTAAGAGAAGTGTGGAATTTAAAAAAATTGTTACCATGTCTGCTAATTCTTTGCTTGCCTTTTTATTTGGGAAAGTCAGTAAATATATTTTTGGTATGTTTTATATGGTCATTGTCTGGTAATAACAGGCCCAAGAAAAAATAACTTTAGTTATACGGGTGAGGTTGTGAAATTAAACTACAAGTATATGCTTGTCTGTCCACAGAAGGCTAAACACTACGTCCACCCACCTTATTATTTTCCGTAAGTCAAGTGTGGGTCACAACACAGCACAGTATGAAGAATTAGGGCCCTTCCATCATGGACTGGAAAGAAAGACCTCTTTTCTCTCAGAGGCCAATATCCTAAAACAGTAAAACTTGCTCCTAAAATTTTAATTTGATCCAAAATATGTCACTAACTTTTTTCCCCCTAGATTGAGATGGAAACTTCTATTTTGATAGCGCTTTAAGAATAATAATGTAAAATATGGCAGTTTAGATCTTATAGCCATAATTATGTGTGAGTATGGGGGCTGTTTTAAGTATATACTTTCTTAGAGCAGTTTGCAATAGTTTATGTTCTTTCTCCAGAAGCTGACGTTTAAATATGGTTTGAGTGACCTGCCACGTTGCTCTGCATGCTTTTCGTCCCTTGTGATCCCCGAGAAGGAAGTGAGGGCCCGAGGGGATAAGTGCTCAGAGTCCTGAAATCCTAACACCTCTCCGATGTCCCCTCCTGCTGGAAGTGGGTGTACAAAAGATACTTGGGACCCTCAGTAATCAGAGTCCGTCACTTACCCCGCCCAGTAGAACAAGAGCACAGTTCTCATCCCACCTCTTTCTTCAGTGCCCAAGGCTGGTCACGGTTTTCCTTGTCACAGCATTTCTCAGGGAGGAAAGTGTAGGTCGGTTGGCACTTAGGAAAAGTGAAAGCCATGCCGTTGCTAATGCAATGACAATAAAGTAATGTCCACTATAGTTTTATCCTGCTTAGAAACTGGGAGCCCAGATGCCTGGAATGACTGAGCGATGATACGCTGGCAACCTGATACAGCGCTGACTAAAGGGACAAACATGTTAAGGCTCAAGTAGCTTTAAAACATCAACAACAACAGCACAGAGCTGCACTGTGCAGCCCTCTATCCCACTAAGGCAGGGGAGGCCACGTGTGGCTTCGGGAGAAGTGCTATCTGCCAGGTTAGTACACAAGACCACTGGATGAGACTTCTAGATGTGTAGGATGCCCGGACACCAGTCTGCGTTGTTCTGGACCCTCAACATGGAAGTTGTTCTCTCGTCATTTCAGCTTTCTAACTGCCTTTCTCAGGCAATGTGCTTTCAAATATATGCATATCATGCATAACAGGCTCCATTTTGCTAAAAAAAAACCCACTGTTGATCATTTCAGTAAGAATTTCTAGTAAAACAAGGCCTCATATACTTTCTTAAAAATACAAAGAATAGGAAAACAATGACCTAATATAAAAATTACTTTTCCTAATTAGCATCTTCCTTTTCTGAGTTGGTTTTTTCCTCTAATGTTTTTGCTGTTTGCTTGACTAAGTAGAAAATTAAATTAGATGCCATAAAGCAGTGGTCTGCAGGCTTTTTTGATCTCATATTCATCAATAAAATGTTTTTGAGCCCATGCCTCTAACACACATATATTCTATTCATAAATTACAGATATATACCACTATAAAAATTTGTATGTATAAAACATATACAATCATCTCGGTGTCCACAGGGGATCCAGGACCCACGCAGATACCAAAATCCCATGATGTTCAAGTCTCTTATATAAAATGATGTGGTGTTTGCACATAATCCACACACATCCTCCAGTATACTTTAAATAATCTTTGGATTACTTATAATACCTGCTACAGTGTAAATGCTATGTAAATAATTGTGAAAAACAATGTAAATGCTATGTAGATAGTTGCTGGATGGATGGTAAATTCATGTTTTACTTCCTGGAATTTTTTTCCAAACACTTTCAGTCTGTGGTTGGTTGAATCTGCAGATGTGGAACCCACAGATATCGAGGGCTGACTGTATACAAATAGATATTTTTTAGAATAAGATGTTTAAAATATAAATAAATATAAAAGTTTTAATAATTTCTTCTTTCCCATTCTGTCACTTTGAGGTCAATTATCCAAAACAGTTGGAAAATTGATATATCCCTGCCTGGGTACAATGGAATTTCCTATACCAGTTGCACTCATAAATGTCACATGCATTAGGAATTATTTTACAAGATCGTTTTAAAGTCAGACAAACAGCCTTCAGGGGAAAGGTCACTTTACAATAACTAGAATTAGATTCCACCCAGGCAAAGGAAGGAAAAGAGTACGTATCTGTTCTGTTTCCTTGGGGAAGGTCCTGATGGTAAGAAAGATGTTTCATTGAGGATCTCTGGTTATTCAGTAATAGTAGTAAAACTGAACTCAACAGAAAACACATCTTAGTATCTAAGACAGAAAGTCTGCACCTTGGCAGAGTCTGAGGTGTGACTGTTCGGCCCGTTACAGCCTTGCCTTGCTCTGAGCAACCTCTGACCCTCCGGCCACACAGCCCATTGTCTTCAGGACATGGAGGCACAGAGCCTGCCGGTCACCATCCTTCAGCCATCATCGCCAAGACCCCTCCTGTGTCCCTGGCATTGTGTGCAGGGGCCAGGATCCCAGAAGGGAGGCTGGGCTTTCCCTCAGCGAGCTTACAGCCCACGTGGGGAGGCACACAAACAAGCAAGCTGCCTTGGAATTGATCCTGCCTTGAAGAGCGATGAGACAGGCAGCATGGACCTAGAAAACACGCAGCCTGGGCCATCTCAGGGCTGGGGAAAGATCCCGATTATACCAATGGAGAGAGAGGAAGGAAATCAAGAAAACTCCACATGAAATACAGCAGAAGACTGGCTCCCACTCTGTCCCAGAGCAAGGCAAACACAGGGAAGCCAGTCTTGCCCTCTCTCCCCAGCAGGAGCCCTGGGCAGGGCACGTGTGGTCGGAGGTTGGGAAAGCCGGCTCGTCTTGGCTTTGTCTCTCTGAGGTGCTGTCTCTAGTGTGGTGCATCCAATTATGGTGAAAGATTAGGGAGGAGCCTGTGAAAAAATTAAAAGGCTGGAAGGAACAATATTTAACGTGAAGCCCCAGCTGCGCCTCATGTTTTTTTAAAAAGGTGAATGGAAATGACTGCTTGAGATAAACTGCCATAAACAGGAACCCAGAATGCCAGCTGCCGTTCCAGACAAGCGCTCTGCCCTCCCCACACAATTACGGAGGAAAAGCAGCCGTCGACCTCCATTAACCCTCACGTCCTCCTGTCTGTAAGGGCTGAATCCGCCTGAAGAACTCTGTTAAGTTACTGAGCCCTGGCGCCCAGCCCCACCTCAGCCCCCTGGGGACAGTCTCTTCCACTTTCTGGGCCAGAGTCTTCCTTTTCATTCCAGGGAGGAGTTGGCTGGGCTGGTTTTAGGTTTTGTAAATACGAAGCTTCTTGGCTCCTGGTTCGAGCTCCCTTGCATCATACAGCCAGATCGGTACACCTTGGTGAGCCAGCATGGTCAGGGAGTGGCTTCTTCCGAATAACTAGATTTTCCGGCTGTGTGGTGTGTGAGGTGTATCTCAGTTTTAAAAATAAGCCCCCCACACACATTTTGGGAGGAGGGTGCAGTTTATTTTTTTATTTGAGATGTAATTCACGTACCATGAGATTCACCATTTCAGTATACCCTTTGATGGGTTTTAGTATATTGATAAGGTTGTAAAAACCATTACTGTCCAATTCTAGAACATTTTCATCAGCCCCACCACAAGAACCAACCCTGCAGCCATTAGCAGTTGCTCCCCATTCCCACCTCCCCCCACAACCATTAATCTGCTGTCCGTCTTTATGGATTTGCCTGTTCGGGACATTCCTGCCTCTCTTCTATCCCTTTCTCCACTCTTCTCAGCAGCTGACCCCACCCTCCCTTTAATATTAGCAACAGCTACTATTTAATGAGTTTCTCTCTGTGCCAAGCATCTGTGTAGTATTTGATTTAATCCTTGAACTAACCGAAGAAATAGGCACCTTTATCTCTTTTTTCAGAAAAAGAAACTGGGGCTTGAAGCGTTTCTGGAACTCGCACTAAGTATCTGAGTCAAGATGCTAACTTCAGTCTTCTTGGCCCTGAATGCCCTGCTCTCTGTTCTGGTCACACACCTGTCTGTGTCCAGCTCTCCCAGATCCTCAGTCCACCCTGACGTGGGAGAGGGAGGATACCAGCTTCCTGGCAGTTGATTGCCGCTTGGCTGTTTCATAACCATGTAGTAGGTGTTTTGGACGGTTGTGTTCTGACAGTGATACGGAATGATGAGGTGGCTTTACAGGTCTGTGAAACGGCATCTGCTAAAAGTAGTCCCCAGATAACACTGTTCTGTGTGAAAGTCTCTGGAGCCAGTCAGCTGAGAACCCGAAAGAGCTCGGGGTGCGCCCAGCAGTTCACATTTTGGATATGCTGCTCAGTGGGGAGAAAACTTGAGTTTTCACATGGATCCCTTTGGGATTTAATGTTGAAGCGCTCCCACCACAGGGGTCGTCTTTGTGGATTGCACCTGGGGCTCCTTTACCTCCACCACGTTTCCCATTCAGCCAGGAAGTGGCTAATGGACTTCAGTCCCAGCTGTTTGTTAAATACCTTTGCTCCGGTCCTTAGCAGTTAGAAACTCAAGTTTTAGGGAGTCCGCGTGACGGCACTTCCATCTGCCGTGTTTATTTATGTCCTCTCTCTGTAGCTCGAGGACAAGGAATGCAGTCAACAGGCAAAACCATCCTCAGGGTTAACTAATTGTAAACAGACATCTCCATCCTCTGGCCTGGCATGCCAATATTCTTGATGTTGGTGGATTCTTAAGTAGAACAGCTGTCAGAGGACCCTCCTTGGATGCCTGTCCTGGCCTTTAGGTATCCAAGGCCAGCTCTCCCAGGAGGACTGACGCTGAGCACGCTGAACCCAGGCCTCAACATTGCCCGACAGCCCAGCCTGACCCCTAGTCCAGAGGACTTGTTTAGGCAGATGGGTACAGGATGCAGTGATAAGAGATTTCAACCACATTTCTGGAAACCCTTCTGGACTGTTGAGTGTAAGTATCTGAAGTGGAAAATACCAGAAAGACAAACTAAAAACAGACAATCTAAAAACAGACAATATCCAATCCGTGATACCATGGAAAGATACTAGGTTATTTAGCTTATATTTCCACTGATAATTGAAAAGCTCCTCCCAGGGGATGAAATAAGATGCAAGAACTTGAAATAACCTGCACAGAGCAAGGATTTCTTCCCCTGACATTCAAAAGCATGCAATCTATATTCTTACAGGATTCTGTTTTCATATTTTGATCTTGTGACAAATCCCTGGTTGTCTCATTGAGAAAATAATTAGAAAGTACCACCAGTATATTTTGGGTTTTCCTTTTTATTTTTTTGTTGTTGTTGTTTTAAAGAAATAATAAAATTTAATAAAATTGACCTAATTAGCAAATAAGTTCTGTCATTCCAGTTCCTCGTATTTAAAAGCCTCAGACTCCTCCACACTGGAATGCTGCCTATAAATGTTGGAGTAAAGATGTCTTTCTTAAGCCAAGGAAAGAAATAAGAGTGTCTACCATTCTCCTAAAGGAAGAGATCTTTTCCACAGGGAGCTCCAGCATCCCGGTCACATTCCCTGGTGGATGCAGCTAATGGCCATGATGCCAGATATCACCAGGCAATAGATTGCACCGAAGCCAGGGGATCAGTAATTGCTTCAAAACAGGCATCCTGGCAAGGCCTTGGCAGAGGCCAGGCGGCTACAAATGAGAAGCACCTGCGTGCAGAGTCTGGCCATTCCATATGCAACAGATCTGTGTTCAGTTAAAGAACCACCTCTGTGTTTCATCCAGCTCCCTTGTTCTGTTCAGATGTTTAAAGCCATGATTCTCAAAGTGCTTGAACCAGCATT